ACGATCTGATATGCAATTGGGCCGGGAACTCCGAGTGGGTCAATGCCCTGAACTGGTCGGGCCAGCCGGGGTTCGATGCGGCTCAAACGGTGCCGTTTGTAGTGGGAGGAAGGAAAGCAGGGGAGCTGAAGAGCTATGGGCCCTTGGCGTTGCTCAAGGTTTACGACGCGGGTCATATGGTTCCGATGGACCAGCCGCGGGCCGCGTTGCAGATGATTCAGAGTTGGGTTGAGGGTGGGCTCGGTTAAGAGCCTAGATGGCTGGGTCTTTGCTGGCCGTGGATAAATGGACATGGAAATATTGGGCCGTCCTGGGCTAAGTCCATGGGCTGCTGTCATTTACATGATTATCATTTATTAGCACAACCAGCCCATGCAATTCCGGCCTATTCTATAATAATGAACAATAACTTGTTTTGTTTGTGGCCAAAAAGTCCCTGAGTTTGTCGCTTCGGGTCCTGTCGAGGTTCGACTATGTGTCTTGGTTACGTATTTTGTAATTGACGGTGTGTTGATCTTATCTCCATCTCGTTTGAGATCGGTTGAATGGCAAAAAAAAAAAAAAAAAACTTGTTTTGTTTGTGATAACTGATAATCATGTAACAAGAACTCAACAGACAACAAGTACATTTGTTACAAGAATTTTCTCAAATATCTTTGCATCGAAATATTGCCAATTTGACATACTTTGCCCAACCGAGAGCATAATCAACTTAGTTATGTGTTATGCGCTACTCTGCACTAAACGAGGTAGATCGTACAAGTCTTAGATAGGCCGTTATTCAAGGTTGTTAGAAGCGATCAAGGGTCGGCGTAGCTAGCGATACATATTGCTATTAGATCCAAATGTGCATACTATCTACGTAGGGATCATGCTAATTTTCTCTGTATTTGTTCCAATGTTATCGAATTTCCCTGGAACACAGATAAATGTATACTACATGTATACTTTCATAATGGTAAAGAGATTGCTAACAAAACCGGACGCGAAAAATGAGACCCTTTATGTTAAACATTGGCATTTGGACACGAATTATGTACAAGAACCGACCAAATGGTATATAGTTACAAAACTTTTCTGTCAAATGGCATAAAATAAAGGCGAGAACGTAGTTAGCAGTCACTTTGAGGTCGAAATTAGAAGCATAAACTTGCTGCTGGGTTGTCACCTTGTTGCGGGAGGGAAGTCACTAAGTCAGCACGAGCAACAGGCCAAAAGGAAAAACAGAAAAAAAGAGGAAAGCTCCTTTCGATCGCTTCTCCATCAGCGTAACGCAGAGGGCACAAATCAATACTGTGGAATTAATTAATAAATAAATAAATAATATAGTTGTTAACTACCTTTTTAGCGACGGGAACAACCTTGGATATGAAACTGATGAAGGTTTGAAGACGTAAGACGGCCTCGGATTTAGCTAAGCAAAATAACCAACCAACAACTAATTAATTAGTTATTTTAAGCCTAGGATTGAACGGTTAATTGTCCCAAGAAAGCCCCAAATTAGGTTGTATTAAATTGTCAAATTACTATAGTCTTCTTGAAGCAGGCCTGCAGTATATATCAAGGACCTAAGCTCCAAAATTCCAATTGTGTTGGATTAAAACAAGGGGTAAACATACATAGCAGACGAAGCCTAATTAAGCGAATCCCTATTCTTTCATTTCACATAGCTCGTCATAGCTCATAACTATTTGATTTTCTACCTAATATAATCGCCCTATTATGTTATGTTAGATTGACAATATTCAACATGTACTAATGTATGTCGATTTACTTACTTTATGTGTTCTCAATAGCTCAATCAACGAGATGAAGACATCACTTGTAAAAATCTCGTTACACTCAATCCAATAACTGAAAAGACACAAACAGACAATCCAGATGATATTGGCCTGGACTGATAATCACCCATCTCTGAAAAATATCTAAACTTTTCTTTTTAAGTAATCATAAATTTCTAGTTTAGGAAAAAAAATAATCTCTAATTGTTCTAATGAACGTCATCAACAAATTCCACTTTGATTTTAAACTACTAAATATTTTAGATTAATGGAAGGGTAAAAAATCTGGATTATGTCCTTCAGTCTTGACTATTATACCAGCATTGCTCCATACATCATGCATGTAAGGTCTCCCTGGATTATTGCAGAGTAATGATAATTGCTCTAGATTATGCATGCGGGTCTTTTCCTAATTAGTTTTTCAAACTAACACAATCACTCTACGCCCGATAATTACGAAATATGGCGGGAAAGATTATCCCTTAACCCCTCATCATCCCCCCATGTTCTCCACGAACACGAAACTGGACAGAGTGGTGGCCGTAAAAACCGGAACTAAAATTCACTTATCTATCAGAAACGCACGAAATTAAATTAGTTTAGTGGGTATTTATTGTCGCAAAGTAAGAAATAAAAAGAAGATAGTTGCTAATTATATTTGAAACAAACTAGTCGGAATAAAATCTCTAATGAAGAATGGTTTGGTCTAGTGAACATATCATTATTATTTTCTTCGAATCGAACATTAAGATTTTGATTTATTAGCATGTCAAAAAAATAAAAACGCAATTAATTCACGATAATGACAACCTTAATTATACATTATAACTGCTCTTTCATTAATCGAAATGTATCGATTTCGCCATATTTACAGACGAATATTTATGCTCTCTACTAAGCTAGCTAGCACAACAACAACAAAATAAAAACCCAGAAATTAAGAAGAAAATAACTTTCCCAAAAGAGAGATAATTAAAACTCAACCGCCTAAAGTGAAAACGCCAAAATCGCAAGACACATTCCCGCAACGTAGACATAATTCCAGAATACGCTCCGGCACTTCACCTCCAACCGCCGCCACCGCCCGTCGGAGCGGCAGCTCGCCGGACCCAGCTCCAATTTCGTCACACGCGGCCGGAACGCCACCTCCTTGACGTCGCACTCCGCCACGACCACGTCCCCCTTCCACGGCCACGTCCACCGCTCGTACACCGCCGCCGGCTCCACCTGCAGGCTCAGCGGCGCCGGCGCGCACGGCCGGAGGATCGTCCGGTTCGCCGCGCAGTCGTTCACCACGAATTTCAAGGACGGGAACGAGGCGGAGAGCGTGGCGGCGGCGCGTCCGGCCTGTCGGAACGGCGGGAGGGTGACGTTGGCGATGCGGCGGGCGGAGGCGGCGCCGCCGCATCCGGCGGCGTAGGCGACGAGGCGCTCGTAGAAGAATCCCCTGTCGTTGGGGTTGGAGAGGGTGAAGGTGACGTCCCAGCTGGCGGTGATGAGGCTGTCGGAGACGTTTCTGACGGTGACGGCGGAGGAGATGACGGCGACGGCGGGGAGGCCGGGCTGGAGGTAGATGAGGGCGCGGGTGACGGCGGGGACGGCGCAGGCGAGAGCGAGGGCGAAGATGAGGAAGAAGATGCAGTTGCAGCAGTCGCGGGCTTGGGCTTTGGCGTTGTACGGTTTGTGGATTTTGTATCCGTCGGCGGCGGGGATGGGGATGGCGGTGGCGGTGCTGGAGGAGGCGGCGGTGGCGGTGGGTTGAGACATTGAGAAAACAGGTGGACTGAAACTGACGATTGGAAGGGGAATTGGGACTGAATTGGGGGAAATGGAAGTTAATAAAAGAGAAAACCCTCAGCGCTATAATTTTATAATAATAATAATAAAATTTTATTCTATAATTAATTTAGGTATGGTAATAAATAGTTGGAAAATTATGAACTCATTACTATATATGTGTATTAGAATTTGAGAGTTGATAAATTATTAAAAAAAATTGATAGAAATATACAATGTGAATGTACTTGATGTAGGAATGAAAACACGTCTGTTTCATAATTTGATTTAGTCCAATTATGTTCTATGTTTTGCGACGAATATTAGTGTTTGCTTTTCGGCCCCACTTGCACGATGCAAGTTTGATTTGTCATGCTCATCTTTAGTATTGTTGAATTATTGAAGAACCGTTCCATTTTAGTGTGAGTCGGGTAAAACCCGTCCCTAATACAAATTGGGTCGAGTAAAATATAACATGACATATCGAAGAACCATCTCTAGATATTTTAAATTGCTTCCCCAATGATATTGAGGATTGGATTCTTCTACCTATTTGTGCATTAAGAAGCGCGAATCATCACATTTAAGTGAACATGTTAAAGAACTAAAAGATAGCAAGATCAATAGTATAAAATGCTTCACTCAAGAAGATTTTCTTCTATGTTCAAATGTTATACTCGAAAATCGGTGAATAACTTTTTCAATAACTATCGGTACGATTGTGCGCCTAATCCACCTGTTGTTACTTATTTTGAAATCATTCATGAGAACATGATTTGGTTTCTCAACTTTCTTTTTTGGGTTGTCATTTCATTGACAACCAAATAAACTGAGAAGGCAGGCTATATTGTATTTATTAGTTCACCATAAAAGGTTGTTCATTGTATATGTTTTCTTCATTTTTTAGAGAACGATGATATAAGTTTGTTTTTCATTATAAGATGCTATTTGAGAGATTCAAATATGAGACTTACCGCCGTACTACTTGCATCAATTTCGATTGTTAAAACTGAACACAACCCAGCTGAAAGCTACCACTACCAATTTGTGTCGCACTTAGGCTGGCTGCACATGAGACACGCCGCCTAAACAAGGAAGCCAGTGAGAACGGTGTTTAATCAAATGAGAAAGATGGAGATTAATTAAGATAATGACCCTCTAATACAAGTTTAGTGTTGGCAACGTCCAAAGTAAACTTCTGCACGCAAGGGCGGAGAACAAGAAAATTGAGGAAAGAGGATTCTGTTCACCTCATTGATTATTATCTGTCCTTAGCAGACTCGATTACCACTAATTATAGTAGCATGGCCCGATTTGTGAGGATTTTGAAGGGTTGATGATATCGAAATGATACAGAAAACAAGTGGACTTTGTGTTTAGTCGTCAAATTTGGATATCCTGCTGACAAAGATGATGGTATTCGGTAATAAGGCATTATACTCCGAGGATCAAGTCAAATAGGAAACATCTTCGAAGTCATTATCGTTTTGATACCTCAAGTGGCGGCACAAAAATGGGATCAGACCAAATTCTGTAGTCACTAAAGATGGATCCTTGGAGAAGGGCATTCAATCCAAAACAAAAACAAAAAAAACCTGCTAGCAATCTGCATTGCACCAAAACAAAATGGACAATTCTGTACTTCTTCCCTCAAAAACCTATCAACCCTTCTGCTCCTTGTAAAAAGAAAGACGCAAACTACATAATTTTGATAATTGGGATTTTACAGGCTAAAACATCATCACACCTTCTTAGGTCTCTTCTTCGAGCTCTCCCCGTCTTTCTTATTCGTTGTTGCATCTGCAGCCTTCTTTTTGTCCTTCCTTTCCCTCTTCTTCAGAGCTGTCATGTGAGCCTTGAGGATTGTTGCATAAGATGCTTGAAACTTCTGGTGATCCTTTGCCCCAACCTGCACAAATGCAGCAGTTTATAAAGAAGGGGGGGGGGGGGGGGGGGGGGGGGAAAGCCTCGGAAGCCAATATCACCAAAGAAAGACATAGTTAGGTAAACACGAGGTGCATGTTTAATTACATGCTTAACTAAATGCATGCTCCCCTGGCTAGTTCTCGGCAGATCTTTTCTATTAATGGTAGCACCTGGGGCACACATTGGTCTTACTGGCAATCATTTCCACACCCTCTTAATCTCTCTAATCCATTTTAAAGCAGACAACACCTTCAGCTAGAACTAGTTGTAGGTAGGTAGGTTCAAGAATCTATCGCAAACATATTCATAACTCGGACAATATCATCTCATCGATGTGAAGAATTTTGGACTAAACCTTGTCAGCAGAGCTAGTTCAACATTATAGCATCGTATTTCAGGGAAGGAGCAAACAGACAACAGAGCCAAGCTTGTTATAGCTCCTTTCCGAACGAACAAACCAGAGTACCAGACACAATGTCCAGAAATCTAAGCGTCGATCTCTTATGCAGATGAGCATGTTACTCATCTGATGTTACAAAGATCCAGTACAGCACCATATATAAGCAAAACAAGATGAAATCGGGCTGTAGCGCCAGTGTCACTATGAATCTATTGGCTTTTACATAAAGCATCAAGATTTAGATTGCGACGGACCGATATTGTTTCAACAGACAACAGTTGATTGCCTGGTCAACCAAGCTAAACGCTTGCAATGATAACTGCACAAGTTTAAGTGGTGGTTCATGGAAGGAAGTCTCATACCGAAGTAGAGATGGTCTTCTTGCCATTGGTTGCACGAATGAGGCACCGGTAGTCAAGAGGTTCACCAGCAGTTTTCATCTTATTCCTCTGTACCTTAGACTTCAAGGATGCTTCAAATCACAAAAAACAAGAAGCACACCCAGTCAACACCCTCATGTTCAAAAACCATCTACAAACATTAGACCCTTATACCACTTCAAGCTAGAAGTTGACCAGATAGCTACCAACTTACATCGTTTGAGAGTGACCCAAACCGAGCCTTTCTCCGTGCTGTGCTCAAACATGCTTGTGAGCTCATTAAGAAACGGGTCCGGCTGTAGTAGAACCTACACGAACAATCCAAAGAAAGAGGTTTAATCTAATCTGTAACCAGACCCCATTAACGCTTTACGAAAGCTACATCTACATACACACAGAGCTTCACGAGCTCGGCTTACTAAATTCTAAATCACAAACCACAAAGTTCCAGCCCCAATTCAGCATCAACAACACCAAACTCGAGGAAAACAAATTATCGTGCTGAGTTCAATTCTGTGGAAGTTAAACAAACCCAATTCCAGAAGATAGTCAAACAAACTCCTGTAGGCAGAATGTCAATCGAGGATATGGCTATGCACCTCTGCCCATCCCCCCGATCAGGAGCGAAACCGCGGGAGAGAAAAAAGAGCGACCGACGACAACAACGATGGAAAAAGAGGAGAGCAACCGAATTAAACGGGTAGGAATCAACATTACCATGGATCTCGGGTTCAATTGAGATGCGGCGAAAGCAGTTTCTCAGACTCTTACTGCGACAGGAGGGAGACGAGCAATCTGAGAGTTTGGCTCTCTTCTTTCCAGCGGAGAGGCGACACGGACAAAGACGCCCTGTGATGGGCTGTTTATGAAAGAAAAGAGGAAAAAAGGAACTTACAACTTTGCAAAGTTTGTGTAACCGATGAAGAGGCTTTCACAGTGGGCCCTGATTGGGCCGGATCATGCCCCCATCTTGGGCTCCTTTTCGATTCAGAATTGTCTGCTTTCCGATTGGGCTTGATTCATTACACAGCGGTGAAAAGTTGTACTAAAGATATAATGATAAAAAAAAAGGCAAAATACACCTGTATAGCCATAACTTTCACACTTTTGACAAATATAGCCATTTCTATTCGAAAACCAAAAATAGCCAATTCCGTCCATCTCTTTAACGGTGTTACTTAACAATCTGACTGTACTGACGGAATATGCTGAGTTGGCGATTTATGGTCCCCACCAAGCCGATGTGGATTAACAAAAAAATTAAAATATAAAAAATCATTATTTATGTCATAATTTAGTAAAAAGAAAAAATTGCAATCCTAGCTTCGCCCCCAATTCAAACCCCACCCTAGCTTCTTGATGCTCTCCACCACCACTGCCGCCACTCTCCCCTCCTCCTTTCTTCTATCTAATTCTAACCCCACATCTCCCGATATCCTTCACCAATGGCGGCCACAACCTCCAACCTCTTACTATGTTTATTCCTCTCCCTCGCCCACGCCTCCAACCCCGACCTCGGCGGATTCTCCACAACTCTCCGCCCCGAGAAACTAGGACTCCACGGGAAGGAAAAGCTGACCCACCTCAGGTTCTACTTCCACGACATCGTCAGCGGCCGCAATCCCACCGCCGTCCCCATCGCACGCGCCGCCATCGTCAGCGGCCCCTCTCCACCGCAGCCGCCACCGACCCACATAACCACCACCATTTGCCTCACTCCCCCAGCTCCAGCTCCAACTCCAACTCGTCTCCGTCACTCCAGCGCTCGCTCACTTCCGCCGCGGCCAGCAAGACGAAGAAAGCTCTCAGATTGAAATCCCCCGGGTCCGGGTCCAAGAAGATCCCCGGGTCCGGATCTGGCTCTGGTCAGGGCAAGTCGAAGAAGCCATTGACGATCGGTGGTAGCCCTGTGCGCTAGGAGCGGTGAGGCATATCTGAATCGGAGTGGGTTCAGTATATTCTCTGGAGATTTTGGGTATTTCTGGGTTTGGGATTTTTGTTGCAGGGAAGGGGATTTGTTCGGATGGGGAAGACGAAGGAGAGGAGAGAGGGAGAGGAGACTGGATATTGAAAAGGAAAAAAACAAATAAATATTTTTATGTTTTTAAATTAGTTATTAATTGATTAATTAAATTATTTTTGAATTAAAATATGACATGGCACTTATGTGGCAAGTGTGGTTGAGTTGTCGCTGACGAGCGCGATGATTTGGCATCCTAGTCAGCCTAACGTTAACATAACTAACGGAGTTTCTAACACCGTTAAAGTTTCTAACGGAAATGGCTAGATTTGTCACACGACCATCCAATTTCTTGGCTATTTTGTGTTTTCCAATAATTATGGCTATATTTGTCAAAAACGTGAAAGTTATGGCTATACAAGTGTATTTTGCCAAAAAAAAATTTGAGGCTCGAGATTAAATGGGATGGACTCTCATATGCTGATCAAAAGAGTGAGGCTCGAGCTTAATTAGATGATACCGATTGGACCAAATTATTATTGCTAATTTTAACATGTTCTTCGAAAACTCTTGGTGCTCCATCATTCCGTACGTTTTTCAATTGTTGACTGATCTCCTCCTGTGAGTCCCGAAGAGACCGATTATTGACATTGAATCTTGAGAGACACCTCGATTACTTAGACTAATCCAATAAAAAAGCAAGAAAAAATAAAATAAAAAGGGCAATAATAAGAACATACAAAATTATAGAAATTACAGAAAATGTTATTCGCTAAAATTTTCTTTAAGAAAAAATCGAGATTAATTAAAAATATCGTATCTTCATTGCAATTATTACGTCGATAAAATAATTCGAACTACATATGTCACTTTCACAAACCAATAACTCGAGTTTTTTCCAGAAATAGCACCTTTAAAAAAAAAATTACAAAACTAGCACCCTCTCAAAAATATTTACAAAACTAGCACCCTTTTTTATTGACCGCACCCTTGTGATGCGTTTTACATATAAACCGCATCCCCCATGTGCGTTTTATATGTAAACCGCACCTGGAGGGTGCGTTCTGATCTGGTGGGCCTAAATCGCACCTTAGCAATGCTTTTTCATGTCTGGCCTACATGAAACACATGGCCGAGGTGCGGTTTAGGCCTGACCTACCTAAACCGCACCTTAGAGATGCGATTTATTCCTCCAAGAACGAACCGCATCTGTAAGGTGCGGTTTAGCCATGTAGATCGCACCCCCCAAGTGCGGTTTACGTGTCAATTATTTTCCGACACCTAAACAGCCATGCAGAGAATTATGCACGTAGGGCTGCATGGCAGACTAAAACCGCACCCTAGAGGTGCGGTTTTCACAATTTTCCCCCCTATATAAGACTTGCCGGAAAACCTCTACTCTTCACACCTCTCATTTTCTCTTTCATTTTTCTGTTGTATATCTATATTTATTTAGTGTGTTTGCCATTAAGATTAACTCGTAAGTTTTTTTTGTTACTTTTTATGCCATTAACATTAACTCGTAACTTTATTTTGTGTTACTTTTTATGCCATTAACATTAACTCGTAAGTTTATTTTGTGTTACTTTTTATGCCATTAAAATTAACTCGTAAGTTTATTTTGTGTTACTTTTTATTGTGATTTGTGATTTTTATACCCGATTTTCTTAATACCCGATTTTCCCAGGTAATGGGAGGATATGATAATCGCTTAAAACCCCATTTCCTTAGACGTGCATCTCTTTATAAAGAGTCGAAGTAAGTGGCGCTATGTATTCGATTAAATTATTGAAAACCACCAACACGATTAAAAAATAAACATAAATTTATTTTATATTACAATAGGCACATTAACAAAATAAAAGAAGGACAAATGGTGAAGAATTGTATGTACCGGGTGATCGTTCCAAACATCCCTTGACCGATGGTTGGGTTGGTCGTACAAGTCGGTTGGATCCACCGGTCCTTGCTCGAGATAATACCTTTGGTTGGTTGTATATATCGACGTCCTCCCCAACCTACGAGAAAATAACTAGGTTAGTACATAGATTAATTAAAAAACTTATAACAACAATAAAAATTAAACCAGAATGATGAGTACATACCGCTTGAAATTCATCGACATAAACTCCTTCTCCTTGCCACCAATCGGCCATTTTTTCGGCGTGATTCGGACAGAGCTTCGGCTCGGCGGGTTTTTTAGGAAAAAACCTAAGAAATATTTTCTGATGGCAGATCGGACTTAGCCGCAACCAACAAACTTTTATTTCCTAGGCTTCTGGGAGGGGAGGGTTTAGAGAGATGAATTTCTAGAGAGAGAAGGAAGAATGGGTTGTGTGGAGTGAAGAAACTCGAGGGGGAAGGGGGGTATTTATACCCAACAGATCGCACCCCTCAGGGGCGGTAGGGTAATTTTACCCCGTATAAATCGCATCTCCCCAGTGCGATCTCAGCGCCAAATCGCACTGCCCTAATGCGATCTCCGCGTCCCGAGGCGTTGAACGCTCGGTAAACGGACGCTCCACTTTTCCAGGCTAGAAATCGCACCTCGCCAGTGCGATCCACAATAATCCGCGCGGATTGCTGACGTGGCTATGCTCCAGCCCGTTGGATCGCATCTCAATCGTGCGATCCGGAAGGTCGCTGGCGACCAAATATGGAACGCATCTTGGGGATGCGTTTTACATTAGAAATCGCATCTTAGGGGTGCGATTTATGATGGAAACGCATTCTTAGGCTGCGTTTCATTTATAAAACGCACCTCTAAGGTGCGTTCCATTAAAATAGGTGCTAGTTTTGTAATTATTTTTGGAAGGATGCTAGTTTTGTAATTTTTTTTTTAAAGGGTGCTATTATTGGAAAAATCTCCAATAACTCAACCATATCTTCGAGAGAGAGATGTCACTCTCGGGAACCAATATTTTCACCATTAGAAGGTCACTAACGTTTGGCTAGAAAGCAAGAGGTGGTTGTTAGACCATAACGATAGAAAAGGTGGTTGGTGGCTAATTAAGTAGGGCTTAGCCTAAAAGGGGAGGTTAACACCATTTTCATCATATTGCTACAAGTGGGTTAATTACAACCTTTTTGTGACCACGTTCTGGAGGGAATCCGTCAAGTCAGTAACCTTGTGGTGAGTAATTATGATTAACCCGTCCACATCAGTATGACATCAGCGTTTTTTTCTCCTGTAAAGTCTTTAATTTTTCCCTCATTAATCTTTGACGGACGATTTCTCACTCGTTTTAAGTCAAAATTTAATTTTTTTGCACAGTTAGATCAGATTAATTATGCTCTTTAAAATGATATTCACTTTGATATATTTTTCGAACAAAAAAAATTGAGTCATTTTTTACCAGTCTATACCATATGGTATTGACTGGTATTGAAATAAGAGCATACTTATGGTTTGTACAGCGTACCATGATGGTATGAACAAACCAAGACTATAGGATTGTTTAATACATGATAGTAGAAGTATATTAACTGTCATTTACGACTTTTTAACATTGTGTACCACAAGATACCACCCTGTACCAGGGTTTAATACATGATAGTAGAAGTATACTAACTGTCATTTACGACTTTTAACATTGTGTACCACAAGATACCACCCTGTACCAGGGTGGTATTGTGTGGTATTTTTTGGTCCTGTAATTTGTTCACCCATAAATTTGTAGATCCAATAGATTATGATGAACTCGTTCCTTCTGTGCAAGCGTTTTCAAAAACGAATTAAAACCGAAGAAGATACCATATGGTATGGAGTTGGTACCGAGAGACAAGAAATTATTTTTCTCAAAAATTATTGAAAATGGATCTCATTTTGTAGAGCACAACGAACTCGTTCCATCTGTACAAAAAAAAAATCCGAGTTAAAACGAAGAAGATATGAGC